AGATCCCACGAGTCTAGTTTATGTTTCAGGGTTATGACCGCACTGTTTACAAGATGTCTTCGGTTATTTATACTGTTATTATTAGCAGAGGGGCTTTAAATTTCCGCTTCACTTGCTCTTTCAATATTTTTTTCAGTTCAATTTGATACCTGGGTATTTTCTTTTTCTTTACGAAAATAGACAACATTGGCTTTCTGGTCGCTGCCTTACACCGTCTCTATCTCCGCCAGGAAGAGTTTACCAGGAAACGAGAAATGCACAAGAACAAAAATCTAAACAAAACAAAACAACAACCGCTGAAATACAAGTTAAAAGTGTCATGGGGGAAGCTTAAGGGTTTGCTTTGGGGGAGTCAGGGGAAGATAAGACCGCGCAGGCAATATAGCTGATTTACATTAGGGGCTAGGTGGTGATCCGATTCGATATCACTGGGAAGACAGATAGAAAAATCTAGGGCCAGAACTTTCAAATTTAGTGGTTTAAAATTAGGCACCTACATTCATATTTCTGGCCTGATCCAGCAAGCACTTTTGCACCTAAGTAACTTTGTGCATTTCAATGTATTTCATTGAAGCCACTGAGACCCCTGGGCTAAGTCAAGTTAGATGCAAAAGTTTTTGTAGGACCGGGTTTTCAGCTATCTAATACCCTTATTTCTACAAGCCCATTGAAGTCACTGGGAGCTGCGGATGCTCCGCATCTGGGGAAAACAGACTACTTCTTCAAGAGCCTAAATATGGGTTTCAGTGCCAAACATTGGTTATCTACGGCTCAGTACTGAACCCTTTAAGTCAACGGCAAAACTCCCCTTGACATCAGACCTCTACATCTGATAATTTTGGCCAAGATAAATAAATTAGATAGATAGTAGACAATAGAAGTTTTGCTCCAATAAGGACTGCGAGATTGAGGCCCAGGTATATCTTTCTGATTTTGTATCTCCAAACCCGGCTCACTTTCTTCTTTTTCTAGTGATGTTTTGTTAACGTTTTTTCTCTTTGCTCTAGACTCCATCACACTGTCATTTCTTCCATTTCATTTCTGACGTCTCCCTCCCGTGTAAATCTGATCTACAATCCTTTATTCAGGCAAAATCCCTCTTGAAGAAAGGGGGGTAGGATCCTGCCCTGTTTTACATAAACAGAGTCCGGACTCAAATAGGAAGGAGTGGTGAGGTCACAGACTCTGTATTATTAGATGAATGCTAATAATAGTTTAGGATAATAGCTTATTGCAAATCGGTTTCCTGATTTCTCCAATATATCAGTGTAGTGAGTTACTGATTATATTTCTCTTTTACTAACCTCTGATTTAATTTTACATTTAGATTCACAAATTATTTAGTCCCTCAGATGAATCCAGATTATAAGAGAACTAAGATCTAGTGAATTCATGTAACTAACAATAAACTGATAAACACATTATGGTCTCATAAGTACAGCTAAAGAAAACAACTACCTATATATATATATAAAATGTTTGTGTAGGAAATATGTGTGTGTGTGAGAATTTGAAGTAACTGTTCTAATACATTTTAATAATAGTGCTATTTAATTTCATTTTCTTCACTTCTTTAACTTAACACTTGGTGAAATTAAAAACCCAGAGAAACATCCCCATCTGGGGCAAACTAACATAATCCCCTTGACTTCAGTGGAGCTATGCCACTTAAAACAGCTGAAGATCTGGTCTTGAATATTTTACTTATTATAGGGTAAATATAAGTTGGTCAATCCTGAATTTTTTGCACACCTAAAGATGATGGGAACCTTGCCTGAATAAAAATTGCAGGACCAGAGGCATGCTCTTATTTCCACAGAATTAACTGGAGTTTTACCATTCCCTTCAGGAGGAACAGAATCCCACGACTTTAAACTAGGTGTACTTTATAATCAAGGATCCCTTGAGATTCACATTTTTATGTTACCTAATGAAACAGAAAAAAATAATGTTATTGATACTTAAAATCATGAATTGGGTCATTATTAACTACTGCTTGCTAAAGAATTGAAGCCAAGTGCTATTCTCTTTTCACTCCTTGAAGTCAATGGGAGTTTTGGATGTACAAAAAATGCAGGATTGGACTCCAGATTTCCTACATAAATAAATAAATAACTCCAGTTCTCAACAATGACTAAATTTAGTCAACATTTTTCTGCTCCTTTTTTAATCTGGTGATATTAATTGTTCATTAGAGGCTAGGATTTCAAGGGATATTTGCCACTTTAAATGTACAGGAACAGGGTAGTGAAAAAGGAAATAATCTAAAATGGAAATATGAGAAATGTAATTGCAATCATGTATAAAAGCCTGCATTTAAACCAATGTAGAGACAACAGGTTCATAGTCACATAGTAGATACAAGGAGACAGATTCTGCCACCTTCACTCACTTTGGGTAAAACCTTATTCTGCAAGTAGTCCCATTCAAGACTACTTGTGGAGTAATGTACCCCTCAAAATGAGTAAAGGCATTGGAACGTGGCCCAGTGAGACCAATTGTGCAGCAAACAAAAAAGTAAATGGTTTTACTTAGATTGAAGAAAATGAACCAAATGTTTTTCTTTACATGTATTTAAGAGACAACAGGTGACGTTTTCAAAAACTTCTAAGTGACTTGCAAGTCTGAGTCCCATTTTCAAAAGTGACTCAGGCACTTAGGAGTCTTATTCCCATTAACTCTCACTGAGTGGACTCCTGAGTGCCAAAGTCTCTTTTGAAAATGGGATTTAGGATCCTAAATCTAGTCTCTTAAACTATTCAACCAGTCCTCACCCATGCTGCAGGGTTTCATGTTCAGAGTGTATTTGCCAATAGCAATCCTCATGAAACAAGGAGGAATGGACAGCAAATTCTTTTCTCCATTCAAGCCTATGCTATCATCTCTGTTACTCTGTATGATGGAAACCGCCAGCCCATAAAACACCAGTGGTATTGTTGCCAGAATATCAGGGCAAAGAAGCCACAAATGGTGGCTGAATTACTTCCTCTATGGAAAGGAAGACAGGTGGCCTATTGCATCACAGTCTGTTATTCCAGGTTAGAGCCTGAATTAAGTTTTCTGCAGTGACACACCTGTGGGTCACAGCTGCAGAGCAAGGAAATAGAAAGGAGTGGGGGTTGAGACAGAAAACACCTACTTTTCACCCAAGGTCAGTTTATTTTTCTGTCTGCAGTCAGGTGCACTTGGTTGCTGTATAGTGCAATCCACAGATATATAATGAATATGGAGTTGCATTTATTCCATGTAAACCCATTGACTTGGAAGCATTGCCTTCTTTTGGGAATTGCACAGCAGCCATTGCCATACATCTCAGGAACAAAGTGGGATAATTTGAACCAATAAACATCACATAAATTATGTATCTCAATTCCCCCCACCCCAAATACTGCTAGAGTATTGTATTGCCCTACCTGATCTCCCTTTCATCATTCATATCCCTCATGAAAACATACTTCTTCTGCGGAGCCCTTGTACAGCAGTCTAGACTCAATAATCCAGATGGTTATTAAAGCATACACAGCACTTTTATAAGACTGTACCCTCTACCTGTGCATCACACGTGTGTGAACTTCGCTATCTGTATCTGAATTAGACTGTGAATTGAGGATAGGGACTGTGTTTTTACAGCACTGATAATCAATAACACCAATGAGAACTAAGGACCAGGTTTTTTTGAAAATAGGTATTATGAAGAATATGAAAGCAATGGCATTGGTGAAGTCACAAGCACGTTTTCCTAGGCAATCAGTCACAAGTGTGAGGTCAAAAATGTTCATGCTTCAACCAAATACACAATATTTTGCAGTGTCCAATCATAGTATATTGGTTTCACATGGTCCTTTCCCACAGATG